GAGAGAGAGAGAGAGAGAGAGAGAGAGAATATCCCCACCACAGGAACCTACTACAGAAAGCAGGGAGCGAGGCACAGAGTTTAAATGTCCCTCCATCACCAATGATTAGGTTCTTCCTGCTGTTGAATGGCACACAGGTGGTTCCCACAGCTGGTCATGCACTACAGGTGGGAACCAGCCTTGTCCTCATCCTGATATTGCCACACAGTTGGTTCCTCCAGCCATCCTTTGTTCCCTTATAAACTATGCAGCTTACTCCTGTGTAACTGCACATTTCACACATACTAGCTTTTCACAAACACAATTTAAGGCTGCCGTATGTCATAACATCCACACAGTGGAAGTTATGACATACACTATTACACTATTACACTATTACATGCAATTTACATCAAATTTACCAACATGATACATAACATTTCCTCTGTTCTTATATAACAGCTCTCTCCACAGAGGCTGAGAGAGCTGGTGTTTATACCCTTGTGATTGAACCATAAAGGCTCAGTGATTTCAAGGTCATCAGAGAGCCAAAGCACCAGTTGATGGTTATTGATTTCTGATTGTCAAGTGCAACCGCTTTCTCCCCCTTCCACCAGTTGCCTTATGTGCTTGTGACTTGCCTTCTTTCTTATCTTCTTTGTATTTTCCTTCTCTTTTATCATCACATGTGGACTTTTCTTTTACACCAGATAATTTTACTAATGGTTGTTTATAGATATTTTTTTATTTACTATTTATTTGTTTATGTATATTGTTCATGTATTTATTCTTTATTTTGGCATTTTTTCAATAGAAATATCACATTCTTATGATTTTGTTTAGTTTGTTTTAAACCTTTTCCCTGGATTATTTAAACTTCATATGATTCTGTGTTTTTTGTTTTTTTTTCCCTTTTTATATCTTATTCTCTCTTTTGTATTGCCTATATCTTTTAGGTTATGTTATACTGGTTCTTGAAAGAATCTTATCATTCATATTCTTGTTTTGTCATGATTTGCTCTAAAAGTGGTAGTAGTATATATATTTCCCATCCTGCAGGTTGATAGCACGCATGCTCATTCGTGACCCGGCCAAACGATCTACATTGGAGGACATAGCACATGACCCATGGCTGCAGGAAGGCAGTAATGTTGATATGGCAGAACTGATGCCCCTAGTATCCCGGCAACACCTGACAGAAGAGGACCATGCGCATATCATCCATAAAATGGTGTCAGGGAACATTGCGTCCATGGAGGAAATACTAGAGTTAGTTGCTCGTTTTCTCCATCTTTTCATTCTTATTTACTGAATTTGAGTTTTGTCTTTTAAAAAGGTATTGATAAATTATTGTTACATTTTTTTTTCCATCTGTTCTACTTCAATAATTTTTTTATGTAATAATGTTTTCTTTCTTCCTGTTTTCAGTGCGCTGGATAAAAATGAGTACAATCATATTACAGCGACTTATTTTCTGCTAGCGGAACGAAAGTTGCGTGCTCACCGGCAGCAGCAAGCAGATTTGGCAAAGAATACGGCTACGAGTCCCGTCATGACCATAAGGTAAGTGAAATTGCGAGAGTTTGAATATAATTGTGAAATAGCCAATTGTTTAATATGACTAACAATTTCCTAATGCTACTGCAGTTTATATTTGAAAAAAGTAGAAAAAATTATTGTTTTTATACCATTAATATGTTTCCCAATGATAGATCAAATGTTTCCTCCAATTTTTTGTGATTATTGCTATTCAATAAATTCATTCAATAATTCATTATCATCCTATGTATTTTTTCCATTGTTGCAGAAAATCTGGTGGCAGTTTAGATGAAAGCAGCCTCCCCACATCCTCAGATTCAGCCAAGTTCACTCAGGAATTGCAGCTCTCCAAGGATGATATGAGCAATGGCGTACTTCACAAAAAGCTGTCAGAAGTGAGTTGACTTTTTATTCTGTATTGCTAAATTGATCATCTTGTATTTCCCCTTTTCTGGTAGAATAAAGTCTGGTAGCTTAAACAGCTTTTATTATAATTGTTTTTGTTATTATATTAGTCACTGTTATCATTACCATTGATATTATTATTATTATTATTATTATTATTATTATTATTATTACTGATTTTTTTTTTTTTTTTATCCATCATAAGTTATCCAGCGGGAAGAGTCATCTATAACATTCTTGTCAGTATAGGGGCTAAGGAGGCACAGTCTTGATAGCAACATTCACATATATGCACACATCATAGCTGCTTTATCCTGCTGTCAGTCTTGTTGTTTGAGTACCTTTTTGTTCCTAGGTAAATATATTTATGTATATTTATACATCACTAGAGTATTATTCTATCCACATGAATTTTTTTTTGCTGTAATTGCTTTTATCATGTAGGAGTTTTTGCCTTGCTAGATTTTTTTTCTTATAGTTTATAGCTGGTTTAGAAGAACCGATTAAAATTGAAAAAGAGTTTACTACATGTGTGTTGGTTACAGAGCACAGCACTTTAGCCATAGCATTGATGGAGATTTTTGGCTCAATACTTTACTACAGATTGGAGGGCTAGTGAGATGTGGGCGGGGCTTTGGAAAGTTGCATGCTCGCCAACGAATCTGCAACGGACACTCCCCTTTGATTCCTCGAAATAAGAAAGGAAATTTGGACTTGTTATAAAGAGAGGAATTTAGGGGCATCATCTTAGTCAAGTGGGTTATACTTGATTGAATACTTAAAACATTTTGCAATTGATAATGTTTGTAAGCTGTATTTCTTACAGTATTATGGATGAGAGTAAAGACAGCCCTATTAAGATGAGTCTGTGAGTGAGTGATAGATTAAGTGATTGGGTGAATAGGGGAGCAGAAAGAAGAAAATAAAAAAATTATTTATGTTTTGTTTATTAATTTAGTAGTAGATTATATTGTAGAGAACAGTTTGTCATGTTACTTGCTCATTTGATGTTTTTATTCATTGACACAGTGTAGAATATGACTTCCCAAGTCCATAAATCAATTAAAGGTTGTGAGGAAAGGTGGAAATTGTTTGGTTCCATTTTTGTTTTTTCCTGTTATAAAAGAAAACAAACAAACTTAAAGATATGAAGTTTGACTAAGGAAAGATTGGGCAGAGCTAGTTAGGAGATAACATGTTGTTAAGGAATATTAATATATAAAGGAGACTGAACATGCTTGGAGTGTAGTTAGGAAGAGGAAGTGATACTGGCTTTTATCACAAGCTTTTATTGAGAAATGCTACAATAAGAAAGTAGAAACCAAGCATAGGGGGACAGCTATCTAGAATGAGTGGAAGTTTGTCTTTGATTCAGTGTATTGTAGATTTACAAACACCAGCTACTACTTTTAGAAAGGGACAACTTTGCACCAGGCATGTGTGGATCATGGGCTGCTTTATTTGAAGGATCATGACTTGGACTAATGGTTCACTTACATGCAGTATCATTTAAGTATTCTCTCTTTCAACCCTTTATTATCTTTCTAATTGGCCAGAATGCTACTTATCCATACATTCATTTATTTTTTTGTCTATTTGTAAATTTTGTCTGGCAAAATTGTGTGTATATATATATATTTAAATATATATTTTTTCTTTTTACAATTTGAGTGTCTTTATCTGAAAATGCTTGTTACCAACCCTGCCCCTTCCTACACACACAATAACTGATCCTCTGTTAAAAAAAAAAAAAAAAAAGTTAAGGAATGATGATCCTGCAGATGGAGTCAGATCCAGTGGTTTATTGAGAATGATGACATTAATTTCCTTTTTTTTTTTTTTTTTTTGAAGCACACTGTTTGTAATAGATATTTGAGAGCACTATTAAAAGACTGTATTTGTGTGATACCTATTTCACTCTGTAGATTTTGAAGTTCTTTTCCCTTTTGCGCTAAGGTTTCTGTCATGGATAATCTGCACAAAGACTGCAAGCTCACGATTTCAGTCAACAGATTTGCAAATCATTCATCACAGTGCATTTCTATGATGCGTCTGGTGTCTTGCTGCTCTGGTTGATTACATCCCCTATGAAGAATTTTTCTCCCATTACATGCACTTTTTTCATCTTTTTTTTTCTTACTGTCAGGAATTTCCTTCTGGAATATAGCAAGCAGAGCGCCACCCTAAGGCTCAGTGTCAAAGGCTCCTCGCCACCACTACGTCACAGCTTCCAGAAATCGTTACCGTGAAGATCTTACTGTTGTTGTTCGCATAATTTATTTACATGAGTTTACTTGCTCTTACTGGCTTTTATAAGTGCTATGATAGTTCGTTTTTGATTTGCCATATGGACGTAGTGATGTATCTCACCATACATTAACTGCTCATTACCACTCATGACCTCGGGTTCGAAGTTGTTTAGAAGTAGCCAACAGCCATTTGCACTGAAAACACTGCTTCATGTATGCCCATTTTAAATAGCATTTTGGTTTGGTTACTTTCTTCAAGAGGGAGCAGACATAATTATTAAAGAAAAAAAAAAATCACCACCTGCTTGTGTTGAAATTGGAAAAACCAGGACATTTTAAAACTCTACTATATTAAATTCTACAAAGGAAATATAGCTTGGATAGAATGATATATGATATTGAAATAAGGATACAGGAGGTTCCTGAAGGTACCTCAACCTTTGATGGATGAGGTCTTAGGAGATAGACTGCTTAAAGGAGGTTTGCATAGCAATATATAGAAGTATTTATTGTCTAATATTCTTCATTTTGTTAGTTTCTCTGATAATCAGAGACTACTCATGACAGCTGTGTCTGTATGGAAAGGAAGTGTTTTCTGCAGTTTTTAATCAAAGAATTATTGAAAATAAAAATCACTTGTTCTCATTATATCAAGGTGAGATAATTCAAAAGTAGTAATGAATTCTAATTTTTCTTGGTGACTTTTAAACTTTTAAGTTAAATATGAGAAGCCAGGTATGCAATGACTATGTGTCGTAAAACTCTCAAGAAGAGGTAGAAGCAAGTAACATTATAGTAACAAAAAAAAGATTAATTTTAAACTGACTCTGTTTTTGACACAAAATGGCAGATAGATTAACAACCCAAAATTCAACCTCAAGTGGCATTCCCAGCAGAGACGATTCGCTAGACTGTCTCCATTGCAGGCACTGATCACATTCAATCTTGCAAAACTGACGGACAGGGTTCCTTCAATGATTGGCTCTGACATTTTTTCATCTCTTCTATTCTTTCCACTGCAGATAATCCATGATTATGGTGATTTGCTTGTTATCCTCGTGTTGAATGATAATTTTGTCCTGTTGTTAACCACAACCCTCAATTACCAGTGTGTTCCTCTTCTTTAGTATTAATGGTCATAAGCTGATGTACAGTCTTGGTGTGTTTTATCTGTACTGTTTCATATTTTTATAATAAAAAGATATGTGTTGTTATGTCATTGTTTAACTTTACATTTATTATTGATATTCCTAACTTTGACTTGTGAAAGGGAAGATGGACTTAAATTGAGAGAAATATAAGAGTAATAGAGAGCTAAATTTGAAGTTTTGAAGTAATGTTGGTGATCATAATGATAAGAAAAATTATGGAAATTGCTAACATTTACAGATGATCCATTT